GGTTCACGCAGATCAGACCAGAGTTGTTTTATATGAGCTTCGTAGTTGGTTTATGCAATAATCGGAATAATTGTCCGCTGTGGTCGAGTTCATGTTTTTGATCCTAAGCACAGATGAGCCGGCCAACGAGCAGGGTACGATGTTCAAGGGGCGGTAGGCTACTGGAGCGAAAGCGAACGAGACAGGTGCGAATGAACCTTGCTGTTATGACCCGACTTCCCGGTTGTCCTGTCCTGTTCAATCCGTTGTTCTTCTGTCTGAGGTAAAGCATTTAGCAATTGAGTTCTTTCGCTCCTGATCCCCGAACATCCAGGAAAGAGTACTTGTATTTCCGTCCCTTCTTTTTATTTATTTATGTAAGCATTGTAAGGATTCCTAAAGTCGTTTTTCTAATGAACATTCCTACTCAAGAAACTTCAAGTCTGCCAAGCTTTCCTGATATGGGGATCCGAATGTGCACCTCATAATGATCCTTGAATTCAGCAGGAAAGCGAAATATCTCATTATGGGGTGCTCCCGCGCCTTCAACTAATTCAAGCGATTCAGTAAGTAGGAAAGCCACTTTATTATTATTGACTATATTGTTAGTGATTTTTTCAAATATTCCGTAGAGCGGTTTAAAGCGTTATTGGTTGCTCAGGGTTTTAATCAAGGAGTCGATTTTCATGAAAGATTCAGTCCAGTGGAATCCTGGATCTTGCTTGTTTGAAGGAAGGAATGATAGCATGAGTAAGGTTAAGCAAAGAAGTAGGCGCAGTAGATCCTTCCTGTGTTAAGCCAACCATTCTTGTATCTGTTCCGTCTGTAACTGTGTTAAACGGTGTGGGCTAGAGGACCCTTTCACTTCCTTCCAGGAAAGGTTTTGGGGAAGGGCAGTGGATGGGAATAGAAAAGCCACTTTAGAAGCTAAATCACTTTGGTTGGAGGAACAAAGAGATTGATTGTGTAAAGAATGAGATAAGGTTCTAGGGCAAAGGGGAAAGGGCCTAACTGAAGGGAGTAATATGCCAGTAGCAGTCCCCGAGGTAACACTTTCTAGATTACCATTATAAGTCCCAGTCCCATTAGTCCCTGACTCTGTCAAGCCATCAGGATCAGACAAGGCCACACCGAAGAGCTAGGCAGCTTGGGCTTAAACCCTTTACATCGATTCCTTAAACCTATGTAGTGAGTCGTATAGGTGGCGTGGGCTACCAATAGCTGACAGCTAAACTAATAAACTAAACTGGAAGACGGAAAGTCGGGAGCAAGGCCGCTTAACATCCGATCGATAGTTGGTTTATTTGTTTATAACAACCGATTTAAGTGTGCTGGGTAATACATTAAAATATAGTTCGTAGTCTTTTTTAAATTAGCGTATGGATTTTGCATTTTAAGTTTATTTTTGATGATATTAATGTATTGTCATTCAAATGTATTTGCAGTCTATTTAATCATTTTTTAGTATTCTGCATTTTTTATTTTGTTTCATGATTTTAGGTTTTTTCGATGGCGAATTTCGTAAGGATTTTGTTGAGGTTTGGTGGGTTGGTTGCTATAAAGAGAGTGTTTACGATGTAAAAGATTATTAATGTACTAGAGTTTTTTAACTCGACATATTGGTTTGATTGTGTTATGATGTGTTTTATGTATTTTATCAAAACCCTAGATTGAAATTATGAGATTATTAATGTACTATTTTATTGGTTATGTTGGAATATTTTACGTTGGTGTTGATCTCAATGTTCTTGTCATTTTAGTGGTATATTGTTTGTAACACAATTCATATCACTACTATAACCGTAATATACTATCATAGCAGATAAATGTACTATATTGAAATTATTAATATACTATGTGGTTGAATAATACGAGATCCATAGTCGATTAACGAGATCCATAGTCGAATTAGATGAATAAGATACTCTATTACATGATATAAGGAAAATTACCCTAATTGATTAGTATTTCAATTAAACATATTATTCAGTTTCCATATATATTATTATTTTTTCATATATATTATTATTTACCCTAATCGTTTTCATATAATAAGGAAAATTACCCTAATTGATTAGTATTTCAAACAAACATATTATTCAGTTTCCATATATATTATTATTTTTCCAATAGTCAATTAACTAAACCCATAGTCGAATTAGATACATGGGATAGTCTATTAAAAGATATGATATATTCTATTAATTTTAAAACACAAATCCGCCGCCGTCACTTCTCAAATCTAGGGTTTTGATGATTCTTCGGCCCATAGTCGATTAACGAGATCCATAGTAAAATTATACCAGTGGGATAGTCTATTAAATGATATGGGATAGTATATTAATACAGATGTAATTCGACTATGCATCTCGTTAATCAACTATGGGCCGAAGAATTATTAAAACCCTAGATTTGAGTAATCCTAGATTTGAGTAACCCTAGATTGGAGCAGTGACGGCGACGGCGACGGCGACGGCGACGGCCAACGACGATATCACTTCAGGTGGATGTCTTGCCCATCAATTGTTGCAATATCACTGAGTTAGTGCTCGAATGCGGTATGCGATTATAACAGATCTGCAATTACACAAACGTGATAGTCGATTTAGCCAAAACATATCAACAAATCGATGGATGATAGCGATTCAGCGAGTGGCGACGACGTACCTACGGCAGCTTGCTCGGAGTGCACGAAAATCGTCGTTTCACGGCAGTGCAGACGTCTTCCCCTTCAATCGGCCGTACCGGGAAGTTGTTCTCGGAGGTTTTGCAGTTTATTCGATAGTGGGTTTGGGATGATAGTGATTTAACGGGAAAATAGGAAGGGATTTGATTTTATTTCAAAAGGTAAAGTAACGGGTTTTGTGGGATTTGATTGAGGGTAATTATGTAATTAGGAAAAGTTTGGGCTGTTATCAAAATGGCAAATATAAATTTGGGTCTACCCCTATTATTTGAATATTTAAGGGGGTTATATCTAATAGACCCTATAATATATTATTATGAAAAATCAATTTTATTAAATATGCAAATCCACTTAATATCTCATTAGGGGGTTCGAACTCGGAAAGTTGGGGAAGAATAAGCAATTATTACCACTAGGCCAACCAACATTTTGGTTTAAATGTAGACGATAAATATATATAATATAAAATGCTAGCAGTAAAATGATAAATATGTTAAATAAATTATTCATTTTCATATTAATTGTTATTAAATAATTTTAATTAAATTATTAACAAATTAACAAATGTAATAGAATAAACTTTTAAAAAAATATATAGAATCACGATTCAATACTTCAAAACATCTATTATTAATCGTTATATCAATATAATCTCTACTGTTGAAAAATATAAAGTATTGAATCAATTCAACATGTAAACAAACGCGTTTACATTTTATTCAAATATTAGAATCGAATCGTAAGATTTAAATGGATTAAGCTCAAGTCCATTCAATTTTTTTTATTATATTATATTTGTTTGTAATTTAATTAAATATAATGAATATGATAATTACTAATCTATTTAACATTATTTATTATAATCATTTTACACCTTTTGTTTATGTTATATATATTCCTAACTATAAATATATAAATATAAATAACACTATCAAATAATTATAATAATTGCATAACTAATGTTTTATAAAGTATTAATTGTCATGTTGACTATTATTAATATCAAAAATCCCGAATAATAACAAATACATATATATTAATTTTGAAAAATATAAAAGAAAGATTGAATTTTGATTTTTTTTGAATTTTGAGATTTTGAAAAATTTCTCAATTATTATTTTCACTTATAAATACCCATAATCCAATCTTCACAACTTTCATTTTATTTAGATTATTATTTTTTTTTTTTTTGAGAAAAGCAGACTTATTATTGAATTAATGAGAAAAATCAGAAATTACAATACTAGATATGAAATCTAGGAGAACATCAGCCGTAAAAGTTGACCTTAAGGACAATTTTGCGATTTCGTGGGCAGCACGGTTACCTTCCCTTTTGACATGGCAAACCTTGAAGTCTTCAAATACAGATGAGAGTCTTTTGATATCGTCGATGAGGTGACCAAAGCTGAAAAAAAAGACCCTCATTCACCTTGGATAGCTGCGACAATGGTGTTGGAATCGCTTTCTAAAACAACTCGATGCATATCATGATCGCGAGCGAACTCCATGGCTCTGAGTGCTGCCATCGCCTATGTTGTAGTTGCGTCTAGTCGTTGATTGCAGCAAGAAGAGAACCAAGCAATACATTTACCATCGAAAGATCTTGCTAATCCACCTAAACCGCAACTATTTTCATCTGAGCCAAGGGAAGCATCGAAATTTATTTTTAACACATCCCTAGGTGGCGCCTCCCAATGAATTAACATTCTTCCAGCGGCTCGAGACGAATGTGGACTAAGAACAACTGAGAACGCTCCTCGCAATTCCATGATGAACTTCTTGGCGAAAACAATGACATCCATAGTTGAACAATGTACTTTCTCGAAATAGCATTTATTTTCTCTTATTCCAAATAGCCCAACACAATAGAGCACAATATTCAACTTGCGCACTATCCTGCTGCCTTTTAATGTGCATGAACCAATCGAGAAAATTTCGCTCTCTCGGTCAATGTGTCGACCATGGCACTCTACTTAGCGCCCACACTTGTCTAGCGAAAGAGATTGATAGGCAATGGAGAACATCTTCGTCGTCATCACTGCATACTTCACATGTGCCCACCTCAAGCACCCTTCGTTGTACCAAATTCAGCCGCGTAGAAAGAAGATTTTTACAACAACGCCAAAGAAAGATTTTTATTTTACTCGGAAGCTTCAAACCCCATAACCATTTCCATGACCCCGTGGGAGCCAGAGAGGAGCTGCTAGCGGTGTTTAGGCCCATTCTTTCCTTCTCTAACTGGACAGCTAAGTGATAAGCGCTACGAACAGTGAATGCACCACTCTGATTATAATAATCTTATCTTCGTTAACAGAATTCCCAAGAGGAATAGACATTATGCACCTTGTATCATCTTCGTAGAAAATTGAGGATAAGCATGTATATTCCAACGACCAGACTCATTGTCAATGAGACTTTGGACCGTCATCTCCGTTGGCCAACTACCCGTAGGAGTAAAAGGTTTAAAAGTAGTTACTCTCGGAAGCCATTTATCGCCCCATATTGACACCTTTGCTCCACTTCCAATTCTCCATCGAGTACCCTTATCTAACAGAGATATAGCACCCCATATACTTCTCCACGTGTATGATGGATTTGATCCTAACGATGCACCAAAAATATCAGATTGTGGGTAGTACCGCGCCTTGTATATCCTTGCTAATAAGCTATCCGGCGAAACCAAAAGACGCCAAACTTGTTTAGCAAGAAGAGGTGTGTTGAAAGCGTCTAAGTTGCGAAAACCGAGACCTCCACAATCTTTGCTCAAGCACATATCGTGCCATTTAATCCAATGAATCCCCTTCCCTCGATTATCATTCCACCAAAACTTAGCCATAGACCCCTGAACTTCATCCGTAAAATACCTTGGAAGTTTGAAGCGACTCATTGCGTACGTAGGGATGGCTTGAATCACAGCCTTGATAAGGATTTCTTTTCCTCCCTTCGATAGCCATTTCTCCTTCCATCCTTGAAGACGTTTGCAAACCCTGTCTCTGTCTCTGATATGACCGAATACTTCTCGTTTTGATTTTCCTATCACTGAGGGGAGTCCCAAGTATTTATCGTGTTTGTCAACTACTTCCATTGAAAGTGCAGTTCTGATCATCTCCTTATTCGCCGAGGTAGTCGTTTTGCTAAAAACGATGCTAGATTTCTGATAATTCACTTTTTGACCCGAAGCCTTTTCATAAATTCTCAAAATATTTTTCACACAAGTGGCCGAAGAGATATTGGCGTTGCAGAAAATTATTGTATCATCTGCGAAAAGTAAGTGAGATACTCTTGGCGCATTTTTGCATACAGTCAAACCAACTATATTACCTCGTCGCTCTTCTCGTTTGATCAGAGCACTGAGCGCTTCCGCACAAAAGAGAAAAAGATAAGGGGAAATTGGATCGCCTTGTCGAATACCCCTCTCCGGCGTGAGAAAGCCAAATGATAGCCCATTGAGAACAAAAGATAAGTGACAGTAGTAACACATAACATGATCAAATTAATAAATCTAATATGGAATCCCAGTTTAGCCATCACCCCGCGAAGAAAACCCCATTCAATACGATCATAAGCTTTGCTTAAATCCAATTTTATTGCCATATGCTCCGCCGTACTCCTCTTAATATAATGAGAAACTTCATATGCGATCAGAATATTATCCGAAATTAATCGAGAAGGAACAAAAGCCGATTGAGATTCAGATATGATAGAATTCATATGTGGTTTAAGACGATTCGCTATAACTTTGGAAGCAATTTTATAAACCACGTTGCTCAAACTAATCGGCCGAAATTGTGTCATATTCCTAGGGTCCTGACATTTGGGAATCAACATTATATGGGTGTAATTTCCCTTTGAAGGCATCTCCTGGTGGTTTAGTAAAGTTAGAACCCATTTGGTCACATCGCCGCCCACCAAATTCCAGAAACGCTGGAAAAAAACCGCTGGAAAACCATCAGGCCCCGGTGATTTCAATGGATGCATCTCATCTAGGGCCCTTTTCACCTCTTCTTGCGTATACTCCTCGAGGAGTGTTTTATTCATTGAATCGCCGACAAGCGGTTCAATAGCTCCCAACATCTCCTCCATTGCAGCCATGGATGGATGTTCAGATGTGAATATATTCCGGAAGTACTCGGAGACAATATTTTCCAGCTCAAACTCTTTCTCACACCATACACCTGCTGAATCACATAAACCTGAAATGGTATTCCTCCTTCGTCTAGATGAGGCCTTTGCGTGGAAAAAATTTGTATTTTTGTCGCCCTCTCTTCTTTATCCAATAACTCATCCAACTCGCTTGACATTTTTTTAATATCAGCAACAACCTCTTCGGTTAACACTTGTTTCTTCAAAATCAAAATATTTTCTTTAAGCGTCCGAATTTTGTCGCGCACAGCCCCAAAATTGTCACGATTCCATTGCAGTAAACCCACTTTACAATTCTCCATATTACTCCATTGTTCACCAAGGTTATGCTGGGAGTTATTAGGAAACCAATTTTCTTTAACAACCTGCTCGCAACCCTCAGATTTCAACCACATTGCTTCAAACTTAAAGCCCCGACTCCGAGCTCTCTGGTTGGAAATAACTTTGCTTCTCCATTCAATGAGTAAAGGAATATGGTCAGAGTACACACGTTCATAATTACCGCATGCTTTGTCCAAACGTTCTCTCGTAGTATCTGTTCCTGTTATTACCCCAAGTATATGGATACCCGACAAATCTCAAATCATTCAATCTCGAGTCACGCAGACAATCGCTAAAATCTTGTATCTCTCTGTACGAAGCCAACCGTCTCCCGCTTTTTCAGAAATTGATAGCATTGCATTAAAATTGCCAGCACATATCCATTCTTCGTTTGATAATGTTGCTAGCTGCCTTAGTAGCGACCAAGATTGGTATCTCAACTGTTCATTCGGGTTTCCATAAAACCCAGTAAAACGCCAAGTGTTGTTCAATTCTTCATAAAAAATAGTCGCATCAATGTGATTAGGAGGTAAGTTTTGCAAACTCATTTGCACGTCCCTTTGCCAGAGAAGAGCCGAACCACCCGCCGATCCTCTAGCGGCCACACACACACCGTTCAAATTCAAATACATCTTTATTGATTCAAACTTCTATTTGAAATTTTAGTTTCACAAAGAAAAATAAAGAGAGGATTATTAGCTCGTATAAGCTCCCGCAACTCATGAACCGTTCGAGAGCCCCCAAACCCTCGGCAGTTCCAGACAAGGCAACTCATGGCGATCAGCTGAGCACTAGTTGCACCAGAGTAAACCCTAGCAACACAAACCCTAGCAATATACCTTGGCGATCGATAATACCAACAATGTCTTAATCGTTTCATTTTTTTCTAAAATTATTTAGTGTTTAAATTCAATTATTTTTATTAATTTTGAATTTAAAGTTAATCTCATGTTTTTTCAAGTTTCAATATAAGTTTTTTTTTCTTTCTTAACAAAAAAAAAAATTGAAATATCGGTTTGGACCCGGACTCGGCCCGGACCCGGATGGACCCGGGTGGACCCGCCCCGAACCCGAACCCGCATCCGTGCGAGTCGGTTTTGGGTCCCCTAAAAGTTGGACCCGGACCCGGACCCGACCCGCCCCGGGGCCATGTCTAATCCATAATATGATTCTTATCAATTCCATCCATTATGCTGCTCTAACTTCCTTAATATTATACATTGACCCCGAATTTGAACAAATATATCACATTAACCCCCATTTTAATAATTTTTTGAAAAAATATTTTTCTTTCATAAAGAATTCTTTTTCTGAATTTTTTTTCCGGCGTTGATTTTTCTTTTTCCTAATTTTTTTTTTCCGAATTTTTTTTCCGGTAGGTCAACAGCCGGTCTCCGACGTTGACTTCTTTTCGTATTTTTTGGAAACTTTGTTTTTTATTTAAAAAACTTATTTTAATTGATATTACTTTCTTGGCTGCTAAATTACTATCTCAGACAGTAATATTACTGCTTGGGACAGTAATATTATGAATATTATTTTCCCGAACAGTAGTATGATTAATATTGTTGTCCCATATAGTAATATTATTGCATGAGACAGTAATATTACAGTCGAACACAACAAAAATGCAAGCCAAGACGATAAAATTAATTAATACAGTAATATTACTGTCTCTGACAGTTAAATTGTTGTTGGAGACACTAATTTAGCAGCCAAGACAGTAATATTAATTAAAATAATTTTGTTTAAGAAAAACCAAATTTTCAAAAATATAAAAGTCAAATTAACGGTTAAATTACTGTCTCCGACAGTTAAATAACTGCTGGAGACGGTACAGTAATTTAGCAGCCAAGATAGTAATATTGATTAAAATATTTTTTAAGAAAAAAAAATTAATTAACAGTTAAATTATTGTCTCCGACAGTTAAATAACTGCTGGAGACAGTAATTTAGCAACGAAGACAGTAATATTGATTAAAATATTAAAAAAATACTAAAAAATCAATTAACAATTAAATTACTGTCTCAGACAGTTAAATAACAACTAGAGATAGTAATTTAGTAGCCAAAACATGAATATTAATTAAAAAAAATTAAGAAAAAAAAGGCCAATTAGCAGTTAAATTAGTGTCTCCGACAGTTAAATAACTGCTGGAGACAGTAATATTAATTAAAATATTTTTTTTAAGGAAAAAAAAAGTCAAGGACGGAGACCCGGCGGTCAACGGTGGTTGACCTACCGGAAAAAAAAAAAGTTTAAAAAAAAAAAAATAACTGCGGCTGACCGGCGGTCTTCGGTGGTGGCGGGTCAAAATTGGTTAATTAGTGAAATTTGACTAAATATGGGTGCAAATCATGAAATTGGAATTCAATTGAGTTTCAATGAATTGGGGGTAATTTTTGTATATATATATAAAAAAACTTTCCTTAATTGCAAATAAGTTGAATAAGCTGGAAATATTTGAAAGAAAAAAAAGTTGGATGTCCCTTTTTGAATTAATTGCCTTGTCATGGGCCTATTTGCCTTTTGCCCATTCTTTTAATGGTTTTCTTTTATTTATTTATTTATTTATTTATTTTTTCTGTTTTTTATTTTAAATTATTTTTTTCTTATTTATATTTTTCATGTTTTTCATTTTGACTTTTTAAAAATGGTTTTATATTTTCTTTTTATTTTTATTTTTCTTAATTCCGTTTCCTTAATGGTTTTTCTTTCCCAGTTTTTTTTAAATAAAGAACTTTTTAGTTTAATTATTTTTTATTAACTTTTTTTTCGATAATTTTTTTTAATATTAAAAAAAATCCACCAGGTTTATCAAAGTGGATTCACTATAAACTTATCGAAATCCACTATGAATATGTTAAAAGCCACTATAAATTTATCGAAAGTCACTACAAACTAGTCGAAATTCACTATAAATTTGTTTAAAACCACTACAAATTTATCGAAACGCACTACGAACTAGTCGAAATCCACTAAACCACTATAATTTTATCGGAACCCTCTACGAACTAATCGAAATCCACTATAAAACTAATAAAGGATCACACAAGCATCAAAGCTCGTCATTTCGTTTGAAAACAACCAACCAAAAGTCTTAAGATTGATTAGTAGAATGAACCGAAACACGTCCTCGTCTCATGTGCAAGTAGCTCTTCATTTGACATATCAGAATATTCAAATTCATTATTCTTCAGTCTTCACAGGATCACTGGATTTTGCTTTCATCTCCATACACTCACCAAGTTCTAGCATCTTCAAAAATGAAAGTCAAATTAAAAAAAATAACAATAAAAAATAAAAAAAAATAAAAAAAAAATAAAAAAAACAAACTAAAAAAAAACTGAAAAAAAAAACAAACAGATTATCAAATTATGGGGGCGTCCAAAATCTATTGGACTAACCAAACAACAAACAAAACGAGGTCACTTAGTTAATCAATTTATGCAAGATATTTCACCAATGAATCGATTTATTCAACATATGTTACTATTGTTCAATAGGAACAGTAACATTTGGGACATCAAAACTGAAAACTAGACAATAAACAATTTAAATAGAGTAAATTACACAAAGACAAAAGAAAGAAAAAATAATTGCTAATAAACATGGTAGAAGACGAACAAGCGATTAAAATTTAAAATTGAAGACCAACCAAATGGCGTGAAATTGAATCGTTGGTTATTCAATTTCTGCGAAGACCCGCCACCGGTGGCAGAAACGTGGCCGCGCCGCCCTACAGTTTCTTGGTCAAAATTAATTAAATTGGGGTTACAATTAAAAATTGGTTTAAAGGGTAGTTGGAGGTAAATTTTGTCATATACATTACTTTTTCTTTTACACATAAATTAATTTATTTTTCTTTTTTAGTATTATTTTTTTTTTAATAATTTTGTGTTTTCTTAAAAAAATATTTTAATTAATATTACTGTCTTGGCTGCTAAATTACTGTCTCCGACAGTTATTTAACTGTCGGAGACAGTAATTTAACTGTTAATTGACTCTTTTGTTTTTTTTTTCTTCAAAAATATTTTAATTAATATTACTGTATTCGTTGCTAAATTACTGTCTCCAGCAGTTATTTAACTGTCGGAGACAGTAATTTAACTGTTAATTGACTTTTTTATTCTTAAAAAAAATATTTTTAATTAATATTACTGTATTCGTTGCTAAATTACTGTCTCCGGTAGTTATTTAACTGTCGGAGACAGTAATTAACTTTTTTTTTTCCTTAAAAAAAATTATTTTAATTAATATTACTGTCTTGGATGTTAAATTACTGTCTCCAACAGTAATTTAACTGTCTTAGACAATAATATTAATAATATTACTGTTCGGAAAATAATATTCATAATATTATTGTCCCAAACAGTAATATTACTGTCTGAGACAGTAATTTAGTAGCCAATACAGTAATATTAATTAAAATAATTTTTTTCTAAGAAAAACAATCCAAAAAAAAAAAAAAAAAAGTCAACGCCGGAGACCGGTGGTCAACAGTGGTTGACCGGCCGGAAAAAAAATTCAGGAAAAAAAAAAGTTTCAAAAAAAAAAAAAAAAGAAGTCAACGCCGGAGACCGGCGGTCTCCGGCGGTCAATGCCAGAATCTGGCCGGAAAAAAAACATTTCAGAAAAAAAATTATTTTCTGAAAATAAAAAGTTTTGGGGGTTAATGTGATATATTTGTTTAAATTCGGGGTCAATGTGTAATATTAAGGAAGTTAGAGTATAATGGGTGGAATTGATAAGAATTATATTATTGAGGGTATTTTTTACTAAAGACATGGGGATGAGCTTAATTGAGAGACTGTTTTTTTTGTGGACCAAAATGCATTTAAGTCCCATGTGATGGGCCTTTTTGCCATTTGCCCTTCTTTTATATATAAAATATTGAAAGGGATGGACTTATTGACGAAAGAGATGTTGTCCTTGAACCTAGAATAATAAAGATGGTTGGTCACCGATGATATGCATAATTGGACCGATCCAATGGGCCCACGATTTATTTATCACTGCGTCACGAGCCCAATTAAAAAGACCACTACAACGAAAGCCCAAACACCTTCAAAGGGGGTTTGAGCCCAACAAAGTAAATCCAACCCAATCAAAGACATATAAATAAATATTTTTACTCATTTGTTAAGGTACGTTCCATTATACACAACAATTCTAGTGCTTATATTCTCTCTACGATGTAACATCCCATCTTTCCAAAACCCCATAACCCAAAATCAATCTGCTTAACTCGAGAATCCCTAGGGGATATTATTACGTGAAATTAATTATTTGAATTACGTGAGCAGATATATATGTGCTTTTATCTCACTATGTGAATTAACTTACATAAATTAGTATTTTAGGATCATTTATATTTCCGTAAGTTGAATTACTAATTATTAATAATAATATACGTTGCACCAAAAGGCGAAATTCCTCGGCCCCAGGGCCCCCATCCCTTGGCCCGACAAGGATTGATGGAGGAATGTAAATCATGGTAACTCAACGGCCCGTTAAGGCAGCGGACCCGGACCTGGTGCCCACAAGGAACCAACCCTCATTGGAGTTGAAATTCCCACACTGCGGCTGCCAGGATTCGATCCTAGGACCTTGCACCAACATACCACCTCC